AGTGTTCATGCCCCAGCCGTGCAGAGGGAGGGGAGGGGAGGGGCCTCAGGCTGGAAGCAGAAGCCTAGAATGTGGGGAGCACCAGGAATGCTGGGAATTGTAGTTCTGGTGGCAGCCCCTGGACAGAAAGCAGAAGCCGAGAGCACAGGGAGCACTAGGAATGCTGAGAATCATGGTTCTGGTGGCAGACACATTGCGCAATCTCCTAGACCAGTGGTTGGCAAACTGCAGCTCGGCAAACTGCAGCTCACGAGCCACATGCGGCTCTTTGGGCCCTTGAGTGTGCTTCTTTCACAAAATACCAGCTCTTCCACAAAATACCGACTTCTGCACATGGGCCAAGAAGTTTCAATCACACTGTACGTGCGCGCCCGCATGTGGTGTTTTGTGGAAGAGCTACACTCAAGGGGCCAAAGAGCTGCATGTGGTTCATGAGCCGTGGTTTGCCAGCCATGGTCCTAGACCAGCCGTGGGCAAACTACGGCCCACGGGCCGGATCCGGCCCGTTTGAAATCAATAAAACTAAAAAAAAAAAAAAAAGACTGTACCCTTTTATGTAATGATGTTTACTTTGAATTTATATTAGTTCACACAAACACTCCATCCATGCTTTTGTTCCGGCCCTCCGGTCCAGTTTAAGAACCCATTGTGGCCCTCGAGTCAAAAAGTTTGCCCACCCCTGTCCTAGACACTAGAGCCTGGAGCAAGTTACTGTTGTGGGTTGGTGATGGAGGGAAAGCAAAGGTGAGAGACATAAGTCAGAGTGTCGGGGAAAAATTAAAAGGAAGGTATCCTGCAACTTCTAGGAAATCTCCACCAATGGAGCAAAAAAAAAAAAAAGAGCTTTATTATTCTGTGAGCACCAAACCAGACTGGGCTGGGGTCTCACACAATTCACTCATATGGTTGCAAAGACAGACAGAAACTTCACTCTTTCATGTACCCAGGCAGATACAATGCACAACATGCATGTTTTCACGGAAGCAGACTTAACAGAACCATTTGCTATACACCCTTTGGTAAGTCACCTTTTTGGTGGCCATCTGTGTTAGTTAATTGCCATAATCAAGAGTTAAAAAAAATGAAACTTTTCTATCTCTATGATAGGCAGGCTCTTACAACTTGGAGCAAGGCTACTATCTATGATAATAAAAGTGTAATATGAGGGGCAATGAGGCAGGCAGGCAGAGGCAGTTAGGGGTGAACAGGCAGGTGAGCAGTTAGGAGCAATCAGGCAGGCAGGCAGAGTGGTTAGGGGCAATCAGGCAGGCAGGCAAGTGGTTAGGGGTGATCACTCAGGCAGGCAGAGGCAGTTAGGGGTGATTAGGCAGGCATGCAGAGTGGTTAGGGCTGATCAGGCAGGCAGACAGAGGCAGTAAGGGGCAATGAGGCAGGCAGGCAAGCAGTTAGGGGTAATGACGCAGGCAAGCAGAGTGGTTAGGGGCGATCAATCAGGCCGGCAGGAAAGCAGTTAGAAGCCAGCAGTCCCAGATTGTTAGAGGGTGCAAGCAGGGCTAAAGGACCGCCCCCCCCCATGCACCAATTTCATGCACCAGGCCTCTAGTCAATAATAACCATAAACTGAAATGGATTAAATACTCCAATAAAAAAAACATAGGTTAGCTGAATGGATAAGAAAACAGGACCCATATATATGCTGTCTACATGAGACCCAGCTCAGAACAAAGGACTCACACAGACTGAAAGTGAAGGGATGGGAAAAAATTTTTAGGCAAAGAGAAATGGGGGGAAAAAAAGCTGAAGTAGCAACACTTATATCTTACAAAATAGACCTCAAAGTGAAGGCCATAACAAGAGATAAGGAAGGCCACTTCATAATACTAAAGGGATCGATACCCCAAGAGGATATAACTCTGGTAAATAAATATGCACCCAATGCAGGAGCACCCAATGCAGGAGTGGGTAGCACCAATGCATGTATCTGCCTGGGTACATGAAAGAGTGAAGTTTCTGTCTGTCTTTGCAACCATATGAGTGAATTGTGTGAGACCCTAGCCCAGTCTGGTTTGGTGCTCACAGAATAATAGAGCTCTTTTTTTTTTCTTTGCTCCATTGGCGGAGATTTCCTAGAAGTTGCAGGATACCTTCCTTTTAATTTTTAAATACATTAAAAAAATACTCTTGAAGATATCAAGGAAGAGTTGACAGCAATACAATCATAGTAGGGAACTTTAATACCCTATTGACATCACTGGATAAATCTTCTAGACAAAAAAAAAATCAACAAATAGCAATCCAAAATGACTCTCTAGATCAGATAGAACTAATTGACATGTTCAGAACATTTCACCTGGAAGCAATGGATTCTTCTCAAGTGCACATGGGACAGTGTCAAAGATCGACCACATATTAGGAAACAGGCTAAGTCTCTACAAATTCAAGAAGATTGAAATTATATCAAGCATCTTCTCAGATCACAATGGCATAAAATTAGAAATCAACTACAATAAAAACAATGAAAAAATATCAAACACTTGGAGGCTAAATAAGATGTGAAAGAGGGGACATATTATTAAACAATGACTGCGTTAAGAAAGAGAGCATCCGGGAAACAAATGACAATGAAAACACAATAATCAAAAACCTATGGACACAGTGAAAGCAGTCCTGAGAGGGAAGTTCATAGCTCTGCAGTCCTACCTCAATAAACAAGAAAAACTGAAAGAAACAAAGAGAGAGGACTCAAATAAACAAAATTAGATGTGAAAGAGGTGACTTAAAAACCGACCCCACAGACATACAAAGAATTATTTAAAAAATACAATGAACAACCTTATAATTTGTAAATATTATAATTTCATGTCATCATAGTAACTATCAGAGTTTTCACCCCATTTCTAGGAAAGAACCCTAAGGCTTCTGTATTTTGAGGATTTTGCCAGGCTGACACAGCAGATAAAATCAGAAGCAGTGCTGAGTACTTGGTTATTTGATTACAAAGTCCGTCTTTCCTGTACTTTGCCACTCTGGGCTCTGCCTTGTTGGGAAGCATCTTTAATGACTGTGATGGTGGAGGTCTTGGCCTTTGGAGAAGCTCCAATGCTTCATAAGCAGGGCTGTATCGGGGAAAAGTAGCTGGAAGTCAGAACTAAAGAATTTGAAAATATACAGGTTTTTAGAGACTGTTATAAATGTTAATTATAACAAACCTGACTAGTGTCTAAATAATATTAATATATTTTTATTGATTTCAGAGAGGAAGGGAGAGGGAGAGAGAGAGACAGAAACATCAATGATGAGAGAGAATCATTGATTGGCTGCCTCCTGTACACCCCTCACTGGGAATGGAGCCTGTAACCCCAGCATGTGCCCTGACTGGAAATCTAACCGTGACTTCCTGGTTTATAGGTCTACACTCAACCACTGAGCCATGCCAGCCAGGCTCAAGTAGAAGCTCTTGGTTTGCAACAGCAGGCCCTACAGAAAATGATAAGGCCACCTATAGGTTCAAATTTCTATCCTAATTATTTCAGTGCACTGGATTCTGAATCCACGCAGAAGGAGACCCCTCCCCAACAAGGCCTCATGGCTTGCCTTGTGACATTTTATCTCTGCCACTTACCAGCTGTGTGAGCCTGGGCACCTCACCTCTCTGCTTCAAGGCCCTCCTTATAAAATAGGACTGGTATTAAAGCATGGCAGGTACATTTAAGGAGTCCTAGGAATTCATTCCAAGTGCAGTATGTGTATATCCTCACAACAACCTCACGGGATGGAGTCAATGCCCCCAGCCAAGGCCATGGGAAGCACACCTGTGGGTGAACAAGCTGATGTTGTGTCATCACAGTGAGGGAGACACTCACTTTGGGGAACTGTGAGGCATCTCAGTCAGAGGGTGTTGGAACCAAAGAAGCAGAATCAGGAGGAGATGTCTATTCAGAGGATTATTGCAGGACCAGTTTACACAGTTGTGGGGAACTGGGCAAATCCAAGATCCACAGGACAGACCACTGTCAGGAGGGGCAGCTGGAACTCTCTGCACAGCCCAAGCTGCAGCCCGGAGAGGAATCCACTCCCTCAGGGAAGCCTCACGCTGCACCTGGGACTCTAGCTGATGGATCCGGCTCAGTCACATTATCCAGCATGACCTCTGTCATCAGTCAGTGGATTGTGGGCTTTAATCACATCTATAAAATATCAATGTTTGGTTGACTATCTGGGGGCTATAACCTAGCTGACACATAAAACTGATCATTAACCTCAGGGTTTGGGCTTGTGAGTGATCTTGGGAAAGATTTGAGAAATAGAGACTTTGTTCTTAATTGGATTCTGTTAGGAAGTGGGTGCTGGGGTGGGTAGTTCTATAATTGGGCATCTTAATACATTTTACCTGGAAGGAAGGAAGGCGATACTGAAGCTAGAGCTGTAATTGGTAGAGAAGCAGCAGTCGGCTCTGGCCGGGTAGCGTCCTCTGGATATGCCAAGGTTGCAGGTTCAGTCTCTGGTCACATACAAGAAGCAACCAATGAAAGCATAAACACATGGAACAACAAATCAATGTTTCTCTTATTCTCTCTCTCTCTTTCTCTCTCTCTCTCTCAAATCAATCAATTAAAAAATAATAAAAAGGAGCAGCAGTCATTCACATTACCCTGGAGAGAGGTGTGCTTGGCCGTAACAGAATCCAACTACGAACAAAGTCTCTTGGCCGTTTTTGTGGCTCAGACAATGCTCATGTTCTGGTTCTTTAGGTCTGTGAGAACCAGCAGGCACACACAGGAGAGGAGATTCTGATTTCTTACCTTCCCTCCTTTCATGGAGAATTCCCTCAGGTCCAGTTGGAGTGGAGGCTGCATCAAAACCTCAGAACCTGGGGATTTCCCAGTCCCTGCCAGACCTCCTGGTACACACTCTTCAACTGGCAACAGAGGTGTCATCACAGGGGGTGGTTTCTGATTGGCTACAACCTGACCTGCAGGGTTTGGTTTGGGTGTTTTTAGATTTCTTTCTCCGCTTGGTCCTCATCATTGCTCTACAACTCAGAGCAGCAACTGCTGAGACCACCTTGAGAAGAAGATGACCCGAAATAGAGTCCTGATTTGGGGGGCCCTCGCCCTGACCACCGTGCTGAGTTGCTGTGGAGGTGAAGACATTGTGGGTGAGTGCTCTGCTGAGCCATGTGGGGACTGGACTGGGAAACAGAGTTGGAAGGTAAAAAAGATAGAGATTTGCATAGAAATAGTAGCCATTCCTCAAAGGCATCCTCAATATTAAGCAGATCCAAAAATTATGGTTCTTCCTCCTTTGGGAAACCAGAGTCCCCATCCAGTCTCTACTACCTGAGCTGTTGCACACTGCACCACGGCCATCATCTTGGTTCTAATGTTCGTTCCATGAATATAGCCCAGAGGCTCTATGGCGTTCCTGCGTGATTGCCTCAAAGATTAGGGGTGTTTTCACAAGTGGATGTTCTGTCACTAAAATTCATGAGCCATTGCTCCCAAATTTTTCTGAACAACTTTTGGAGCTTTATGAATATTTCTCTTGTGGTTTACTTGGGGTAAAGAGTTTCATGAATTATGTGTACTATGTAGATATGAAGAAGGGTTCTTTGCTTTGTCTCAGATTCACATACATTTCCAAGCTGAGAACTGACGGGTGGGAGTGGGTAAGCAGCCCAGTGAGGGCCTTCAGACAAGTCATTTTATCACGTGGTTTTCACTTAATCTCAGTTACCTCTTATGTGTCACCTTACAGAAAATCAAGTAAAGTAGTATTACGTGTGCTTCCCAAGTAATGAAGATCATTAAATGTCAATGATATTTAAAATTACTACTATTACAGGTATAGCTGTATAATTTTTCTTTAACAAAGTAGGGAATAGCTTTACTTTTATTTTAAAATTGAAAACTTTATGATGAAACTTAGTGAATTAAATTACATTAGTCTCAAACAGTCAGCCCAAAAGGCCTGTCCTTTACCACATCTAAGGAAACTCTGCAAGGAAGATTGGGCATCCAATCATGGTTTGGTCCCCTGGGCTACTCCACCTCTGTTGCTCACCTTTCCACCCTCTCTTCATCATTCCTTTACTCTCCTTTCTTTCCAGGATCTATTCCTAGTTCTTCTTTCTGTCGTTTTATTGGCATGAAGAGTAGGTTCATAAAAGCAAAGTAGAAAAACCAAGCACTGTAGTCCAAAGGGAAATGAACTAAAGGTTACTCTGATCTTCAATGATGTTATTAACCTCTAGAGTCCCAGTGCACGAATTCGTGTAAAGGTGGGGTCCCTCAGCCTGGCCAGCGATAGGGCTGCTCAGGGCCATCTCGCCCAGTCTCAATCAGGGCCAATCAGGGCTGGCCTGCCTGGGGAAGGGACCAAAAGAGATTGGCTGTGGGAGCACACTGATCACCAGGGGGCAGCTCCTGCATTGGGAGTCTGCCTCCTGGTGGTCAGTGCTCATCATAGCAACCAGTTCACCAGTTGTAACAGTCTCTTAGGCTTTTAAATATATAGATGGCTGCTCCCAAGCTTTCTTGGTTTGGTAGGAAAGTCTTGTCTGCTTCTCCAGAGTACGTCCACGACCCCTTTTCTCAATGTCACTCCAGAGTACCCTGGTCTGTCTTGACGTACCCCCCACAGTAGGCAAACGGCCAAGGGCCCACAATGCCTATAGGGCCCCATAAACATGTTTTACTTTCTTCTAAAATTAGAAGAAAAAATGAACTTTTAGAGTAGAAGGAACTAGTTTAATTTAGCCTGGATTATATTTGCCTTTGTACCAATATGGTCATAACATTTTCTAATAAAAGTTTTTCATGAAAGTTTTTAATATTTTTATGGAAAAATAAAGGCCCACCTAACAACAGTGCTTAGAGCTCAGGAGTCATAATGAAGCCATCACCACTGAGTCTAACTTTCACAGGATGCTGCTACCTTCGTGTCTGTCAGTCTTCCCCAAATCTCTGTCATCCTAGAGAATAGCGCTGACATTTGCTACACAGTTTGAGCACCAGGAGTTCAGTGCTGGGGACTCAGATGAAGACATGTGCTGTCTGCACCCAGAGGCAGCTCAGATTAGCAACAGGACAACATGGTACCCAGAGCAAGGCAGCTGCTGCTCAGGACAATGGGCCCAGCGAGGCTGAAACTGAAAGTGAGTAGTTCCAGCTGGCGCAGTGAGGTCCCTCAGCAGCAGCGTGCAGCCAGGACATGTGCAGATGAAAAGGATAATCACATATATTCATGTTGGAAATGGAATCAAGAGGATTCGTTACAAGGACAAGGAGGCTTTGAGGGAGGGCCTTGGAAGTGGCCAACCAAGGGGGTCATGCTGGGTGGGGATGAGGACTAGATAAACTTGCAAAGAGGACATTTGGATGGAGGGGCTGGAAATCATAATGTGGTCAAAATTATGCTTAATGAGAGGACTTAGCTAAGAAGTTGGTAACTAAGCAGAAACGTCAAGAATGAACTGGAGGTGTCCAGAAAATCCTGGAAGATAATTTGAGGGAGGAAAACAGACCCTTGTAAAGACCAAGGAGCATTAAAGGGTGACGTCTGGTTTGATGGGCAGGTGAGGTATTTGTGGAGGACTCAGCACTGTTCACCTATTGGCTCCTTACTGCCCTGACTCTCCTATTCATTAAGCTCCCCGCTGGCAGAGACCATGCGTGGTCCGTGTGTTACTCCTCGCTCCTCACAATGTCTGAAACCTTGTTGGTACTCGAGAAGTGGGAAGGGAGGGAAGAGGAAACGGTAAAAGGCTCAGACAAGTTGTCCAGTCAGGCCCACCTGGGAGTCAGCTGCGCTGGCTGTCTTCTTTGGCATCACAGACAAGTCCACTGTCCATGCGAGGGAAGGGCCGGAGTTTTCCCTGAGTCCCCAACAAGGTAAGTGTTGAGTCAGAAAAAGGAGAGGCTTAGTAAAGTCCTTCAAGAAAAGCAGAGGGTGGGAAATGGCAGGAATCCAAATCTAATGGAATTTCCAGTTTCATTTCAGAGGAAACCAGGTGCTCTCCCCTAAGGACCACCCTGTTCCAGAAGCAGAGACCTTAGCCCTGGCTGGTTGCTAAGTAGTTAGAGCATCAGCCTGCACACGGAAAGGTCATAGGTTTGATTCCTGGTCAAGGGCAGGTACCTGGGTTGCAGGTTCATCTCCAGAGCCATGTGTGGGAAGCAACCAATCAATCTGAGAGGTTTCTCTCTCTTTGTCCCCCTAATCTTCTCCCTCCCACTCTCAATAAATAAAAAATAAAAAATAAATATACTCAGGGCCCTAGCCAGTTTGGCTCAGTGGATAGAACATCAACCTGCAGAACAAAGGGCATGGACCTCAGTTGCAGGCTTCTCCCCAGCCCGGGCCCTGGTCAGGGCAAGTATAGGAGGCAACCAATCGATGTGTTCTCTCACATCAATATTTCTCTCTGTCTTCCCAACTCTCTTCCACTCTCTCTCTAAAAAAAAAAAAATCAATGGAAAAATATCCTTGGGTGAGGGTTAAACTATATATATATATATATATATATATATATATATATATATATATATATATATATATCCTTAGGTGAGGATTAAACACAAACTCACACATAAACAGAGACCTTAGAAGCATGTTTACTTTTATGTGTTTTGTAATATTGTCACTGCCCTTATGATGCTCTTTCTTTTTTTAAATTATATTTTTATTGATTTCAGAGAGGAAGGGAGCGGGAGAGAGAAATAGAAACAGCAATGATGAGAGGGAGTCATTGATCAGCTGCCTCCTGCACTCCCCCTACTGGGGATCAAGCCCACAACCGGGGCATGTACCCTGCCCAGAAATCGAACCATGACCTCCTGGTTCATAGGTTGACGCTCAACCACTGAGCCATGCTGGCAGGGCTCATGCTCTTTCTTATTCCCTAAAATAGAGGCAATTCTTTTAAAATAATATGTGTGCTTTTCTTGGTTAAAAAGATAAAAGGAGGAAGGAATCCTTGTATAGCACATGTTCTGCTCTGAGCCAGTCCTGAAGAGAGAGGACCCACAATGAATGTGTTATTAACCGATGATGAAATTGAGAGAGAAAACTTATGAAGCAGAGGGAGGTAAACTGAATCTCTGGAAAGAAAGTTAAGGCCGCCAAACTGGTTTGTCTCAGTGGATAGAGCATTGGCCTGCGGACTGAAAGGTCCCAGGTAAGATTCCAGTCAAGGGCATGTACCTTGGTTGCGGGCACATCCCCAGAGGGGGATGTGCAGGAGGCAGCTGGTCTGTGTTTCTCTCTCATCGATGTTTCTAACTTCCTATCCCTCTCCCTCCCTCTCTGTCAAAAATCAATAAAATATATTTTTTTAAAAAAGAAAAGAAAGCTAAGGCCATGGTCGTTCATTCATTCCTAGTTCCGCCCATTTCAGTATTTATCTTAAGCCCAAGAGGTGCCAGGCGCTGAGCTAGGTGGGCAGAGAACAGCAGTAAACAGGCCTGTGGAATTCTGTTCCTGAGACAGGAGCAACCATCAGAGAGGACAGGCAGCTGGATTCTAACAGGACAGCCAGGGGAGGGAGCAAGCGCTGGGGACTGTCTGCAGGCTGTGCAGAAGGTGCAGCACACTATGTTTCTTATCACTTTGTTTAACGAGATCCTTTCTCTCCTGTGTTTTGCACCTCCCTGCTCCCACCTCACTCATCAGCTGACCACGTTGGGGCCTATGGCATAAATGTCTACCAATCCTATGGTCCCTCGGGCCAGTACACCCATGAATTTGATGGAGACGAGGAGTTCTATGTGGACCTGGACAAGAAGGAGACTGTCTGCTGGCTGCTTGGGTTCAGTGAATTTAAATATTTTGACATTCAGACTGCACTGATAAACATGGCTATATTCAAATACAACCTGGACCTCCTGATTAAACGCTCCAACTATACCGCTGCTCCCAATAGTATGTGTCCACCATCTTGTCTCTTTACTGAATCTACCCTTCACCAGGCCTCACTCCCTTCTTGCCTCAGATAGATTCCCTTCACTCTATAAAATGCTCTCCTTTCCAAGGAGTCCCAGATCTTCTCATGGAATTTGCTGAACCCTCATCCTCTCCCTTCTTACAAATCACATATTTCCATGAAATACAGATTTTTGCAATCCTTGACTCCTTAAAGGATGGGTCCCATAGACGTCCTCCCCTAACAAGGGGCCCACAGAGAGAAGGGCGTGGGGATGACGGGCGGGCAGTGTACAGCGGCTCACAAGCAGAGGGAACAAGAGCATCTCTGCTTTCCAATGGGGAGACATTGGTGGGAGGGCCCTTCCAGGATGCAGGGACCCTCAGGGCAGAGCTGCCCACGATTCTAAACCCAGTGCTGTTTCCTCACCATAGAGGTTCCTGCGGTGACTGTGTTTCCCAAGGCTCCCGTGGAGCTGGGCCAGCCCAACACCCTCATCTGTGCCGTGGACAACATCTTCCCTCCTGTGATCAACATCTCGTGGCTGAGCAACGGGCACTCAGTCACGCAGGGTGTTTCTGAAACCAGCTTCCTGTCCAAGAGTGATGATTCCTTCCTCAAGTTCAGTTACCTCACCTTCCTCCCTTCTGCTGACGACGTCTATGACTGCAAGGTGGAGCACTGGGGGCTGGACCAGCCCCTCCTGAAGCACTGGGGTGGGTATGAGCCCTGCCTCGACCTGCACGGCAGTTCAGGATAACTTGCAGGAGGGCCAATGACACACAATGAATACACTGTATAAGAAATATGGATTTTGAAGGCATTGGGGGGCCAGGTGGAAACCTCTTTGCAAGAAGAGGAACCACAAGTCTGGGTTCTGCCTGCTTTTTATTCAGCTTGATTACACATTTGCCTTTAGCAATGCATGCAGGCAGATCAAAGGTAAAGTCTGGTAAACAATGTAAAGATGATCAGGTCAGGAAATTGCCCGGAGCCATTGCCATCACAGCAGGAGCAATCTATGCTGATTCAGCCCTGCTAAGATCGAGGTCCCTCTGCCTCCCAGTGTCTTTTTTGCACTTTCATGCTAATGCTGCTGTGCTTTGGCCTCCAGCAGAGCCCCATGCCTTTTGGTGCCTTCTTTCCTCTGTCAAGTCTGAACATCTGCCTATGATCCCCTAACTCATGGCCCTAAAACTAACACTTTAAGGGTTTCTAATGATAGACTGCACCCTCTCACTAAGCCCCATGCCCCACATCTTTACAGAACCAACCCCATATACCTGCACAGCAACTCTCTCTGTATTCTGATCTCCACAACCTCACACCCACAGAGCCTGAAATTCCAGTCCCCATGTCAGAGCTGATGGAGACAGTGGTCTGTGCCCTGGGGCTGGCCGTGGGCCTCGTGGGCATCATCACGGGCGCCATCTTCATTATTCAGGGCCTGCGCCCAGGTGGTATCTCAAGACAACAAGGGCCCTTATGAAGGGAAGGTAAGTATCTACACTAATAATAGAGAAACATGGTAATTAACCATAACTTCGCTACCCTTCCCATTGGCTAATCAGCATATCCTTATGCAAATTAACTGTCAGCCAAGATGGCGGCCGGCAGCCAGGCAGCTGGAAGCGAACATGAGGCTTGCTTGCTCCAGTGACTGCAGAC